AACATCATTTTACATAATCCCTAGTAATTTGTTAATTTTCTAAAAATATATATTTTTTCATAATATGATTCTTTGTTGTCTACCATTATGATATTTTGACATTTTTTTAATTAAGTTCAATTAAGCATTATTTGTTGCAGTACATTAAAAATAGATGTAGATATATACTTGAGCAATAGCTGGTCATTATTATTGTTATAGTATTGCGATAATAATGTGCGTGTGTGAAATAAATAAATAAAGATTAATTGACCCATTGGTTGAAAATTAATTTACTTGTACAGGATGGTGGGCCGACAGACTTTCCTTTAAATACTGTAATTTGGTTTGCTCTTATACTAATTCATGTGACACACTAATTGAGATTTTTAATTCATTATGTATAGTTAAATGATTTCAGGTTAAGATTGAGGAGCAGGAGTGTGAGGCTAATTAGATTCTTCAACTCTATTTCTTTTTGTTCTAATTATTATTTTGTACTCAAGAAAATATAATTATGATATGATTATATAGATCATAAGTGCTATATATATGTATATTGATGTTTTAAACTATAGAATATATTTTTTATTTATTATTGATAATTGATATTAGACAGCTCTAATTATTTTTTTTTTATTAATTGATAAGAACAATTCTTTTAATTTAGATTCTATGGCATCACATTATACCGCCATAACACCATCATTGACATCACCAAAGTGCCTAAATATATATATGGCATCGCCTAATCTCTGTTTGACAGTGCAACAATATTGAAGGAGTCAACGCCGTAAAGCCAATCTCTGTCTACATAGCATTGTGATGCCAAATACATGTGCCGCCAAGTCAAAGACAGTGCCACAAGGATTCCCAATGCTCAACTATCAGTAGTGTCATAGTGCTACAGTTGTAAATATTTAGGTCATGATGTACCATCGAAGTGATGTGTTGATTCAATAAATTGCAGGTCAATGTCAGCAAGAGCCACAACAGAGGAAATCCTTCAACGTTGCGGCGTTAGTTCATATTATGGATACCGCAAAGCAAGTGTCTCGAGCATCGTAGTGCTAACATATATTTTATAAGTATTTTTTATAAATAGTCTATTTGTAATATTTATTGAGGTGTTTAATCAACTATTTAATTTTTGTCTTTATAATACTTCTATGATTTTTCCTTAAGAGTGACAACTAAAAAAATTTAGAGAAGTACTACATACATTCCATTAGAATGTTTAGCTTGTGTTTGTCGAAGTAATTATGTAAGTTTAAGGAGGAATGTAGAGGAGATCATTGAAACCATTCAATGATATATTTTCTTATGTTCTTTTTTTTCTTTTATGAAACTAATGAAAATAAGTTTGTTTCACTTGTTTTTCAACTTAATTTTCTAGTTTTGGATTGATGGTGTAAATAAAATGTGGAGTGCTAATGAATTTTCTTCATTAATAATTTTATGATACTTTTAATATATAAGGTCTTCATTTAATGCACATAGTGACCATATGTGTAGTTAATATCATATGTAATGTAGAGCTTAGGCACAACCAAGTATGTTGGATTGGTGTGATGAAAATATAAGCATATTGCTTTTAATGTATCAAAATTATAGAGATGAATTATCATGAGAAAGTTTTAATACTACATGCTTGCTTACTCTTCTAAGATTCTTAATTGATGACAAACTTTGGGAGTTTAATGTGATATTTATGTTAGAAGGTTTAATCTGTCTTTTAATTCTTTACGATTGACTGAGCGGTCGGTGATATATATACTCTAAATATTATCAATATAAAATAGAATAACAATGAGGGCAAGTTTATGTTCTCAAAGGGTTTAAGGAAGTCATGCTGCATGGGCAATCTGTGAAGCTACTAACGCCAAGGGAAGGAAAGGTAGCATACATGCTGAAGAAAGAACAACCAACCTTAAGAGCAAGGAAGAAGTCCAAGGGTCAGAGAGTGACCAAGAATTATACTAGATGTTTTTGCTAGAAGACTCGTGATGAGGGCATCAAAAATAGGTGGGGAAGCATATGATGACCTGCAAAAACTTTAGGAGCTTAGCTATGTTAAACTAGGAATGACATGGCTAAAGGAAGCAATGAGATTAACCAGAGCCCTCATGATATTGACACATCATATAAAAGGCTCTAAAATGTGCTACTTAAGCTTAAAATCCTCTAGAAGGCACTAGGAGCTTCTAGAGACCCCACACTTGTGTACTGCGTAGACTACTTTAGAGTATTCTTAGGAGTGAGTGGAGGGCTATATATATGACTCCTCCTCTTCATATATAAATTACTCCTATGAATTCAAGTTTTTAAGCCTTGTAAAAACATTTCTCAGTGAATAATGCTCTCTCTTTTTTAAGGCAAATTATTGGGTCAGGTGACCGAACCTATCTCCGCATTCGGACGCCAATAGAAAGCCGACATCTCGCTAAATAAATGTGGATTTTTTTAATATAATCTCTTTGCTTTATGTCTTGTCAGCCCGATCGACCCAACCCAGTAACCCAGATGATTTGAATTTCATAATAAAAGAATGGAAACGAAGCGTTTTTTCATTTCACGCGACATTTTCACTACTCTATTACTCTCGGCTCTGGTAATATTCTCTCGGACTCCTCAAATACCTCGATTCTGCAATATCTTCTTCCCGCCGGCGGTAGACGACGACATTGGAGAATATCATCATTTTAAAAAAAGGTATGGTTGCGCCTATCTTGCGCTTGACTTACGCTTTTGTTGCGTTTATGTTATATGTTAAATTTTAGGGTTTAGTAATAATTTTTTACATAACATTATTTGATCAATATGATCTTCAAATGTTTATTTTCTAAATTTTAACCTTCTTCGTAAATGGAAGAAACAAATAATACGAAAGGTTTGGTTGAGCTTTACTTGCACTTTTATGAGAGAAAAATACTGAGTAGGATTGAAAACTTAAAAGTTTTATGAGAGGAAAACAACCAGTATGATTGAAAACTTATTAGTGCAAGAGGAAAAAATCATTGAAGTAACCCAATGTTATTTGCATTTGAAACTTTTTAATAATTATGTTGAATTCGTCGACTATGAAGTTCCTTATACATGAAGCACAATTAATAGAAGTGAACTCACTTACATTACTTGAAACATATATGAGCCTTCTATGAGTTTTATGGTTGTTTAGTGGAAAGAAAAGATTAGATAACAAAAATATTATAAAGGTCTTTAATTTCGTAGCATTATCAGTCAATCTGTCAAATTTTGTCATTTTTGTTTTTATTTCAGTTGTTAGTGGTCCAATTAGAGGATCAATCCTCCATTTGATATCATCACCTATGTTAGGCATACTATCAGAAAATTTTTGTACATGTTACATTTAAAGTAAACAAATATATCCGTATCCATAATTCCTTATTCAAAATATTACCTATCAACAACGCAACCTCGTTAGAGGTGAATTTTAGTAAAAGACCATGGACAATGAAGCCTTCATTAGCAGGACTCCAAAATTTCAGAACCTCAAAAAGAAGTGGTATAAACTGTTGTAATGCTGGAAACTTCAAAAACTATTGAATGTTCAAATTCTTTAATGTCTGCTCAAGTTCATCATCAATTATCTCGACAAAAACATCACAATGTTTTCTGAAAGTGGTAACATAACATCGAGAAGTTACTGGCCTTTGATACGACATCTATAAAAAAAAATTCAGATAAAAGAGCAAATTCAGATAAAAGAGCAAGTAAAGCGCAAGTTAAGCGCAAATTAAGCACAAGTAAAGCTCAACCAAACCTTTCGCATTATTTGTTTCTTCCATTTACGAAGAAGGTTAAAATTTAGAAAATAAACATTTGATGATCACATTGAACAAACAATGCTATGTAAAAAATTATTACTAAACTCTAAAATTTAACATATAACATAAACACAACAAAAGCGCAAGTCAAGCACAAGATAGACGCAACCATACATTTTTCAAAATGATGATCTTCTCTAATGTCATTGTCTATCGCCGATGGGAAGAAGATATTGCAGAACCGGAGGTATTGAAGGAGTCCGAGAGCAGATTACTAGAGTCGAGAGCAACAGAGCAGTGAAAATGTCGCGTGAAATGAAAAAAATGCTTCGTTTCCATTCTTTTATTCCGGAATTCAAATCATCTGAGTTACTGGGTCGGGTCGATCGGGTTGACAAGACATAAAGCAAATAGATTATAATAAAAAAATTCATGCTTATTTAGCAAGATGTCGACTTTCTATTGACGTCCGAACGCGGAGATAGTCAATCACCTGACCCAATAATTTGCTCTTTTTTAAACCTTCACTCATGAAATTCAAGAGGTTTTTCCTAACATTGTTAGATGTTAGATTGCTTAACATTAGGATTGAAATGCTAAGGCTACACGACCTTATAGAAGTTCTATCTGGAACATTAGGCTCCCACTATAAAAGCATAAATTTCCGGCCTAATATATTAAATTCTTTTAATACAAATAAATAAATAAATCAATATCACGTCCGCCGTAAGCGAATCAACCTATAAATACAGCCTATATAGAGCCTAATGACAACTCCACCGCCTTCGAATGTGTGAGCAGCGGGGGGCGGTAGTTCTGGTGAGCCTCTTACCAGACGAAACTTCACGGGTTCCTCAAAAATCCTTTTCCGTTTTCAGGCGACAGACAGGAGATAGTTGCGTTTGGCTGACTGAGGGGAGGTAGTTCTTCTTACGAGGGTTTTCATTTCAAGTCTGGTTGTAGTAAGTTTCTGTCCAAGGCTGTTTCTGCTACAAGGATCTATCGACGACTAAAGGCAAAAGGCATAGTCCTTAGTTTCCTCAAACCCATTTCCTGCTTTCAGGCCACTGTATCTGAAGTTTATAAGCAGATAAGCACGGTATTCCAAGGGAGCAGAGGTAGATCTTCTTCCTAGGGCGTCTTTGAATATTCCATCCATTCCAGAGAAGGGAAGTGTTTCTTGAGGCAGTTTTTCGAATTCCGTAGTGGGTGACTATTTCGCAAGCTTTTGAGATGCAGAAACTTGGGATTTCCAGTTTGAAAAATTTCGATCAACTTCGATCCTTGAGTGGATCCGTGGCCGGTATAGCAAAAACCCCTCAGATGGCAACTATGAGGCCTTCATTGGATTCTCTGTCACATGGAAGTTTCACGACTCTAAAGTTGACGGCAGGTACTTCCATTTTCCTTGCACGATATCCTCACACTACAAATCTTTCTCCTGAGGATTTGTGATTGCCTGACCCATTCCTTTATTGTTGAGCTTTATTTCAGACAAGCTGGTTAAAGAACAAGCTTCAGTGAAAACCGACCTTGAATTGGCGGTAAAAAAATACTTGTTTGAAAAGTATTTGTTCCATGTCATGGATGTTCTTCTGTTGTGATTGTTATCTTGATCTCACGTTAATATCTTCTATGCCCTTTCTTGATGTTTTTATTAGATGCATCCAATCTCCTACAATGTTTAGTCGATGCATCCACATTCGATACTGATAGTTAATAATTACTAGATTTTATGTAGGCTGGCATTAAAATTGTTTTTTATTTTCTCCATAGCTTTCTGATTAGGAAGCAACACAGCTTGCTACAAAAATTTCTGTTCATCTACAAAACCGACTGATGTTATAAATTTGAATTTCATGTGGTTATTGAAGCATACAAAACTGAGGAAAGCAACAGAGCAGATACATGTTCTAGAGGCCAAACTACAGGAAGCGGTTAATGAAAATGCAATGCTTAAGGTGAAGCAGATGGAGGATGCCAAACTCTGGAATGGATTAGATACAAAATTATCTTCAACTAAGGCATTTTGTGATCGGTTGAGTGATGCAGTACTGAAATTAGCTGATCAGACTGATACAGGTATGGCTAAGTGCTGGTTTCTGTGTGCTTGAAGATCATTTATTGTCTAATTTATAAGTTTATTTCTACATTTTTTTTTCTTAGCTGAGCAAGACAAGAAGTTGATTGAGGAAAAGCTTTTGGAGAATGCTAAATCTTTTGACAACTTCAAGTTGCAGTTTGATGATTTATCCACTAAACTCCAATGTGCAGACAACAAAATAAAATCTGGTTAGAAGTTTAATATTTTCCTCTGGCTATGCATTTATTGTCATATTTATTGAAGTATTGAACTTTGATTGTGATGGACCGCAATAAAAAATGTATGAAGAACTCATGCTAAGATTTTTGTATAAGAGTGTTTAGTAATATCTTTTTGTAGGAAAACAAGAAATTTGCAAACTTATACATGAGAAGGAGGAAGCAGAAAATCGCTTCAAGGTTGAACTTTGTATTGCTGATGAAGTAATAAAAGGAAAAGGTAAACTTACTTCCTTCAGAAAGATTCTTTTTAGATTTGGCATGGTTAAAAGAAAAGTATTTTGTTTAATACTAAATTGAACTTATGATGAATGCTTATAATTGGATAATTATGGAATAACTCCTTTGGTTTTAACACCATTTTTTGTCAACTTGGAGTCGATCTTAGTGGTCAATATCTTTCCAAGGGAATCAAAAAGATGAAAAATCCATGCTTTAGAGTAGCTCGAAGATGTCTTTTTCTTGATACATCTGTTTTGTTGAAATATTTTACCTGTATTTCCTATACTAGGTGATTACAAAGACCTAACATCCAAACTTCACCGGGCCAAACAATTTTTTTGGCCATTAGGTTTTGAATTCTCCATGACTACTTTTGATCTCTCCCCATCTCATTTTTTGAATCTAGCACCTTAGTTTTGAATATTTTTGATTGATAGTTGTCTTTAATTTAGACTAAATATGCAAGTCACTTTATGCTTCTGCATTAAGAAATGAATGAAAGTAGTTATTATTGGGTTCATATGTTGCTATGTTCTCTTCCATCAAAGTAAAATATATCGAGTTTGAGTGACATGGTCCTTGGAGAGGGACATTCATGGAAGGAAGATCACAATCATGAAGAATTGTTTGTCAAAGTAATATTCATTAGCATTAATCACGTCAATGGTTTGTCAAAATTTCCACTGTAGGCATTACATTTTTGTCATGTTTCTATTATTCTTCATTCTTTCTTGTGATATGATCTTATCTTGTTTGCTACTCTTATATAAAAATGTGGAAAATGTTATCTTGCTAAACTTATAATTTTGAGTTAATCTAATCTAGTAGTTAGTCATAATATACTGAGTTTCATCTTGAACAAACAATGAAAATTTCATTTTTCAAAAACCATAAAAATCATTCCAACTAATCCTACATCATATTTGATATTAGGGCAAGTTGATTCGTATCATTTAAAAGTCATACACTTGCACATATCATTTATAAAATTTATATCTTGAATTTTTCTGTTTATATTTGCCATATTGATTCAGTATTTGCTTTCAAGTAGTTGATTTTCATTAGCTTGATGTTGTTTGCAACTTTCCACTTTCCTTCTGAACATTTTTAAATTCCTTTATAAACCTTCAAAATTAGCACAATTTGAGACTTGCTAATAAAAAATCTACTTTGAACCCAATTTTTTTTGAAACTTGTTGAATTGTTTGCCCCGATGACATATTTTAGTGGATATTTTTATCAGCATGAACCTTATCTAAGGCCATATGGGAATGGCCCAAACACTTATTATAAATCAAGGTCTACGAGAACTTGTTGGCTATAAATCATGACCTCTTTCAAGAGAATATAATCCTAGCCACAAAGAGGATTATTTTAGATTATATGTCGATTATAATTTATGAATACATTGCAAAAATAGAAGGATGAGTCATTCACATATGGTAAAAGAAGAAATGAGTGCATTATTGCTAGTGTTGAAATAATATTTAGTAATTTTAAGCCTATTTCAACTGGAACCCA